GATTTAGCCATTTCTGGCTAAATTAGATGAGTATCCTGACACACTAGCATCTGCCCCTTTTAATCAAGTGGCACAGTGTATTTAGGATGACTTCTCTCACTTGTGATTGGCCATAAATGGTGCAATAGGCTGACAAATAGTTTAGGATGACATGTACAAGATCTGATTGGTTGCAAATGGTGCAATAGGCTGACAAATAGTTTAGGATGACATGTATGAGTTCTGATTGGTTGCAAATGGTGCAATAGGCTGACAAATAGTTTAGGATGACATGTATGAGTTCTGATTGGGTAGTTAGGATATAGCATTTGTCAGCCCCTTTTGTCTATAAAAAGAGGACCTCTCTGAGGCCCCTCAAAGGAAAAAAATAACAAGTAGTAACCAAGTCTTCCCTAGTTTTCTGTTGTCTTCTTGTCCCTGCTAGCCTGTTACAACATTGGTCAGGATACCCACCCCATGAGGATACCTGGGAACCAGAGGAAGCCCTAACAGAGGCTTCCGAAGCCTTAGAAGAGTACTGGAGATCCAGAGCCCCCACTAGCGCACTAGTAGAGGACTCTTTGGTAGTCAGCCTTGCAGGCAACGCCCCGGAAGATACGGCTTACGCTTCCGACCACCAATGCTTCGCGGTTTATCCGGATGATAGCTCACGTGATAATCACGCCCTCTCTCCAGAAAGAAAACCAGTTTCGCGTGGCTTACCTCACCAGTCGAGAACGCCACACCAAGCCTCCCGATCATGCTTACGCGCGTCCGAGCTGTCAAAATCAGCCGGCGACGACCTTAAAAGGGCGCCCCTGCTCGCCCCCCCTCTTTTTTCTTCTTCAACTACCAACGAACTACTTCCCTTACACACTCACTCTGCTTCGCAAACCCTTTCTATCGACACCGAAACAAAAGCTTTCATTTCCAACACCATGACCACCGATATCCGAGGACAACAAGGAGTCAGCATCCTCTCTACCCTTGAGGAAGGCTATCCCTGGTCAGAAGTAAGCGACGCCTTCACTGCCGAGAACTCTATCAAGCGGCTCGGAGCAGCCATGGCCACCTGGGTCGAAGTTTGGATTCGTGAGTTGTACGAAGACCCAAACAAAACCCTTGAACACTATCGTGGTGAAGATTGGGTGGTTGACAGGGCTTCAAAGCCTTACGCCACGAGCCAGCCCCTCATGATGCATATCGCGGAGCCCTACAGTAGGGCTTCCGACAGCGGTCAAGCTGCTGTCGGTATCGTCGCCAATGCAAAAAAGATAGGCAAGAGATTACGGGACGTACCCTGCGCTGCCTGGCTTGATGCTGGGGTCCCTCAACATGCGGCCGGAAACCCCAAAACGGCCTGCTTCACCCTCTGGCCCGATCACGAGGCCCACGATTTCGCGGACATAGCCATCGAAGCCGCGAGAGCAGTGTTGTTAAAGCTAGCCAATGCAGCTGAAACCACAGAAGAGCAGCTCCGTCCCAAACATCGGGAGCACGCCTATTACCACTTTCGAGTGGTTAACTTGAAAAGGGCCGCAGAGACGTTCACAGCCCTCTACGTAACCCGAGCCAACGGTTCCAGGACACCTGGAACCCCGGCTCCGGAAGCCACTGACCAAATTTGGTTCTGCGCGAACGTCATGGGGCGCGCTACCATAATCTGGACGATCAACGAAGACAGCCTTGAAGCTGACGACGACTATCCAGTTGCGTCATGGTAGAAGCGAGGTTCAGGCACTCACAGACGAGTCGCCGAACCTTCTTTTTCGAAGGGGGGATGTAGCGAATGACTCTGATAAACCGGTTCGCTCAAAGGCATCAGGTGACCACGATTGAGGTTTCTGCAATTGTAACCTAAGCTTCGAAACCCCTAAGATCAAACTCGGTTCTGGGCTACACCAGCGCAGCGTGAAGGATACGTTACGCAGCCATGATCGATCATGGCGATGGTCCGAGATGGGAAGATCAGACGCCGCCACCCTAATGAAGGCTACGGAAACTAGTGTAGACGTTACCATAGCATATTCTTGTATAAAAAGAGGAATTCAATAAAATAAGTTGGCAGCCAGAAGCCGTAGTGACAAAAAATCCCCACAACTAGCTTCTCAACCCCAATCCTAGGTTAACAGGAACCTAACAGAGCGCTTCAACGGCCTGATCACCCGCACTGAAGCCTCTAAATCCTGCTCGGTTCACAACTAACTGACTCTCCTTGCCTCTTGCCCTCAAGTCACTACCGATGCCCAAAGAAAGGATTTGGAGACTACGATTCCTAGTACGGACACCCACACAACCTGCTAGGAGACCCAAGTTGTCTTTACCATAGTCTACCAACAAAAAATCCGTTACACTCCCATCCTGCTCATACTCGATGGAAATGGCACTCTTTCATCAATCGGCAGCAAAGCGAATCAGACCTCATAAGTAACATGCACAACAAGTATGGTGAAAACTTTACTGTTGTGATGGGTGATTGGAGTGACGCTGGTCGAACTGCGAGATTTCAGACCTCATCAAAGACAATAGGCTGGTGCACTGTCTTCAAGCAGAACAGGATCAACTGCTTCCTTCTCGACGAGTACAAGACCTCATCTGTCTGCCCTCACTGTTCATCCGATGACTTCCTTGAAAAAAGCTTCAAAACACGACCTCATTCAAGACCTTGGCGACGACGAGAAGGCAAGATTGAAAAAGTCCATGGATTGCTGGGTTGTACCAACCCTAACTGTCAGCAAGCCTGGACGATGCGCTACTGGAATCGAGATACGCTGAGCACCTGCAATATGCTGATAATCGTGCAATCAATGTTGGATGGACACAGTAGACCAGAAGTGTTCAGCAGGAGTGTTCCAGCCGTAGCTTAGATTGGTTAGATTAGGTTTTCCGAGCCGGTTGTCGCCGGTTCAATCCCTGGTGCGGGTGCTAGTGCCAATACCCACCGGCTCCGCACTACCTTTCCTGGACTTGAATATAAGATGGGGTCGCTCTGAATCCTATTCGCATATCTATCTAGCTTCAACACACGCTAGTGGTAGTGGTCTATTCTCCTCGTCTTGCATCTGAAGAACATCATGAGCGACGGAATTTCGGTTAGCTTTGAAATCCTACATTACTTTACTAAACCTGTATGAACTCCATGACGACAGGTTTCTACTCCTATTTTGGCTATTGTTAACGATAATATCGAACAGTTTCCTTACAGAAATTTTTATTAATGGAGAGTTTGTTCCATTGTTGTCTGGCAAGACATTTCCAACCATCGATCCGACGTGAGTCCTTGCCAACGGCCGCCAGCTTTGTATGCCCAGTCATATGTGAGCAGCTACACAAGACTGGAGCCTTTGTGAGTTGTTGGACAGATGTACGCTGGGATTATCCGCCATCATTCTGCTATCTTACTTTCCATACCAGGTCGTCCCATGGAACTTCCCTTTGATGATGCTGAGATGGAAGTTGGGCCCTGCATTGGCACAGGCAATACAATTGTTTTAAAGGCATATATGTTACAGATAATTACATATCCCAAAATTCCTTCGGAAGAAACTGGCAGACATCAAAAAAAAATCCTCTCTTTCCGCGCTCAAAGTCGGCCAATTGACTGCTGAAGCAGAATTCCCACCAGGCGTTATTAATGTACTCTCTGGTTTCGGGTCCACGGCTGGGTATGCCATTACTCAACATCCTGGTATCAGCAAAGCTCCTTTCACTGGCTCCACAGCTCCACCAGCGGCTGGTTGAAAGGTGCTGATGGTAGCCGCCGCGATCAACTCAAGAAGATAGGCTTGAAGCTCGGGGACAGATGCCCCAATATTGTTTTTCGACGATGCAACTTGGAAGAACCGTGCATGCTGTCTCTACCGCTGACTTTCAAATCATGGACAGGTGTGCTATTCGGGCACTCGCTTGTACATCCAGAATGGACATCTATGAAAGATTTGTCGAGCAATTCAAATAAAAGATAGCATTATAGCAGATCATATGAGTCAAGAGTTTTGTAGTCTCAACTTCGACTCATATCAGATGGAAATAATAAACCTGGGAAATTGTTTCCACCCAGAAAACGAACCGTGGATCCGTGGTAGACGCTCTCTAGTATAATCGTGTGCATCGATTTGGGAAAAGAAGTCGCCAAGTGTGGGTATGGAGGGCATACTGTTGGCAAACAAGGCTACTTCATCATCTCATATTATCACAGGCGTTAAATATCATATGATTGTCGCCAGAAAGGAGGGTTTTGGCCCTATCGTCGCTGCCATTCGCTTCAGACCGAGGAAGAGGTCATGCATGAAGCAAATGAAACGAATTACAGGTTGGCAGCTGCAGTCCATTCCCGAGATTTGGTAGGGTATTCGGGTGATGGAAATTGTGAAAGAAGGAATAGTGTGGGGTTAATTGTATAGGAAGTATGCAGATGCTCGACGTACCCAATGTTTCCAGTTACGTAGAGGTAAGTCTTACCTGGGTTTTCTTCGCATAGTTTTTCTATCCCAGCTACTATTGGCAAATTACAAAAACTCGGATGTCGGACGCAAACTGGATGAACAGGTTCTTCGCGAGTACAGCTTGAATGTACTCCTACGGATTCACACCACTGTTGGCATGTCTAGGTGTAATAAGTCTGTCCTTTTGCTGACCGAGGTGAAATCGGTCGTCATAAAAGTGAACACTTTGGACCTGGCAACAACCATGCTAGCATTGACAGAAAATGCGGCACTTCACTCCCCTGTCGTTGTCACTTCTTGGCAGAACAGTCCGGCGCTTGAATGTGATTATAGTAATGAGAGGTACTGCAATGGACGAATTGAATACGCAGCTCATATGCACACGGATAAGAAGAAAGGGTTATAAAAGTTGTGAACAGATGCTATGGGTTGGTAAGTTAATGCCAAAGGACGCAGAAACCCCAGCAGAAACCCCAGCAGCGTACCTGCCTTTCCGATCGCTGATGTAAGCAAGTACCACTGAACTATTGGCTGAACCGCTGTGCGGATGACACGAACGTTTGCATTACGGGCATTGACTGCTAATACCTCATTTTTAACACTTTTTCAGCCAACGTAATGTCGGATTCCTCACCAAGTACACCACCGTCCAAGTGGCGATATCGTCTATATGTCCTTGCCGGCCTTCCATTTCTTCTTTCTCCCGTGTCCCTGTTCTCCCTAGCGGTTCTCTACGTATCCCTTCTCTGTGCAGTTCTCCTCTATGCGGCTTATATAGCCATGAAGGACTTTGTTGTGGATGAACTTCAACAACGAGGATGGCTAACGCAAGAGGTGGTCGATTCTCCTCAAAGGGATGAAGCCATAGGGGCGGATAACACCAAACTTGAGGAAGACTTCCCGATTCTTTCGTACCCAATTGTTGGCCAACTATTTATGGGCCCTCCGTTGGTTGTCTACGTATCAACAAGAGGAACTGTGCAAGGATGGCTGTATAGTTCAAAATGGGTCGTTCGGAAGAGCGTCCAGGGAATTCCCATTGTCTGGAGAGCATCCCTTTCCCTTGGTCAACGGGTCCTCAACGGCTGCAAAATACTTTGGGACGTGGGAGTGACTATATGGCGCACGGTCGAAACTCCGGTCGTGGCGGTCTTCTCCAGTGTGTATAGGACAACTGCTGACGTGTTCCTTGCTGTATGGCACTACACTACAGTTGTACTCCCGACGCTCACTGAACAGGTCCTGTCGAGCATGTGGAAAGTCGCTATCTATTTTGCCGAAGGAACAAAGTGGATAGGGAGGAAGATATATAACTTAGGGGCATTTCTTGGCAGACCTTTCGGGAAGGTCATGTACGGCATATACGAGTTCCTTTCCATTCAGTTCCTCCGAGGAATGCGTCTGGCACTCAACATTCTGACAACAGTAGAAGCAAAACTTCGGCCTCTTTTTTTGACAGTCGTTGAAACTCTTACTGTCACTTTCCGCTCAGTGATAGTAATTGTGTTTCGGGCTACCTCATCTCTTGCCCAATCCGTGGTCACACTCGGCCAGGCACTCTTCGTTCCTCCCCTCCGCTTCCTTTTCCGTACCACTACCGCTGCTCTTAGAATCACTCGCAATGTCAGCATTAAAACGACAGATCTGCTTGTACGGAGCGCCCGCCCTGTTCTCAGTGTGTCATTTCAGCTATTTCATTATCTTCAGGGCATCCTTGCCACCAGTGGAGCATACACTTTTGTTTTATCCCTTCCCGACCGCATAGTAAACCTCATAGACGCACTGTGCTACGCCTTTGAGGCATCGCTTTCGATGATCGTCAAGCATACATATGCGCAAACCTTGTATATTCACCAAATAGCCTCGCCTGTCTTCCTTAAACTCCTTGAGATACTTCAACCGTTGTTGGACGTGGGATTTAGTGCCTTAGGATTGGTGCAAAAAGCTGGTGGCATTTATCTTGTGTATGCTGTGCAGGTGACAAGGCGAGTGGGATCTGCTGGAGCCAGAATATCGCTGTACATTGCTTTGGAAGTGAAAAGGGCCGCTGAGCGAGCCCGTCGTGCTGGTGATGCGATAGGTAAACAGGTTGCTAAAGTGGTGAGCACCGGGATTGCTAGGACCTCAAAGTGAGGAGATTGGTTAAGGGTGTAGGTGGTCTCTGGAGGCAAATATTTATTTTGATGTCATTTGTAATATTATGAAGATACCCATTTGCATTGACCGCTGTTTCCGTCCAGAACCTGTGGAAGGTATTTACACTTGATGAATGGTGAAAGCGCCCTTACAATATTCACCATCTCTTCCGACTTTTAATGGGAGTGTCAGCTACCCCGCCAATTTCCTCCCCCAGTTCATCCCAGTCGAACCCCGCAAATCCCTCCAACATCATCTGCAAGCGCTTGCAAGAACCCGGTGTTGCACTCGGTGTTTGTCTAACTTTGCTAGGCGTTCCAGCAGTCTTCCGGGGGGTGGCATTCGGGGTTCGTTTCAATTTGATCGGCGTCTCAACAGTTTTCCGGGGAGTGGTAATCAATGTTTGTTTGATCTTGCTAGGTGTGTCAACAGCCTCCCGGGCGGTCGCACTGGGTGCTCGCTTCGTTTTGCTCGGTGTACCAAGTGCGTCCCGGTGGGGTGTTCTCGGTGTTCGTCTCGTTTTGGTAGGGGTACCAGTGGTATCTTTAGGCGCCCTCCGTTGTTTACTTGGTGTTCGCGGCTCCGCCCAAGTGTTTGCATGGGAACGTTCGGGTATATCGGACGTTGTCGCTTTCGGGTCACCACCGGCGGAGAGCATTGGAGGTTTGGGCAACGGAAGGGTGGAAGAAAGATCTAGAAACGGATTATCGTCGATTCTGTCCAAGGATCCAGTTTGTAACGGCTTTGAGGGTAGACCAAAGGTATCTTGGGCGCTGGTAGATCGTCGCTTGAGAATTACTGTTCTGTTCTCCTGATCAGAAGTCCGCCGTAGTGATGAAGCGGTTGCTGCACTAGTACTTTTGGACCTCTCCAGAGGAGCTGCGTTCGTGCTATTGTCTTTGAGGGCTTTTCGATTCGCTTCTTTACTTCTCGCCTTGCGAAGAGCAATCTGCCGCCTTCCTAGTCCTTTCAAGAATTCAGGCAACTTTCTTGTCGCTCTAGGTTTGTCTGTTTCATCGGTATTGAGAATGTCCTCGTGGGGTATGATTTTGTCCTTGGGTTTAGCTTTATCGGTGGATTTTGCTGAACTACCATGCTTCTTGTGTCCTGCCATTCCGCTGCCTCGCTTCCGACCTCCAGTGCTTTTTTGTTTGAAGAAGGGAGAGGGGGGCACCGGCTTTTGCTGATTTGGATCCCCGCCTGCTTTGACATACAACGATTTGACAACATCCGGTAGATGGGAAGCATAGCTAACGAACGCGGAATTTAATATAAAGATCCCTCGGATATAAATCCAAGAACCTATATGGAGACTTACTACTTCACAATGATGGGTTCAACAAAAGATTTGAGAAGGCGAGTTTCTTCTGATTCGAGCTCTAAACCTGCCACCGCGTGCCAAATGCATATGCGGTCCATCAATTCGTCAATGGCGCGAGTAAAGAGCGTCCTCCCCGATTCATGTGCGCTTTGACCATTATGGTCGACATTGTTGGGTTCAGGCATCTCGTCAACTCCTGCGACTTGTTTTCTATCTACCTTACGCTTTTTACGAAACCCGGGCACTGTTGCGTCTGGCAAACAAAGGGACTTGCGTTTTTTGCGCTTGAGATTTCCTTCGGCTTCAGCCTCATCAGGTTCTGGCCGTTTGAACCAGGCTGCTAATGAGGGTAGGTCTTGGCCTGTCTGATCATGAATCTTGAGGCACTCCAGAAGCATTGTGAGCTGAAGCTTGGCTCTAGACAGTGACATATGGCGTGAGCCAAACATCGGATGCCATCTAGGCAACACCCTTTCACCCCCTTACTCTGAAATTTTCAATTTAGAAATTGCGTCCTTCAAGATCCGCCTCCCATTTGACGACTCCATCGGGATTGTCGAGTTGGAAACGAGTTGACTCTTCCACGCCAGTAGGGCCTCCAGTTCCAGCGTATCCACAGTTTTCCCCAGTGAAGGCGATGCGTCAGCTGTGTCATCGAGGATATCTAATCCATCCATGAATGCCCTATATTTCTGTTCCAGCCGAGCAACTGACAGGAGTATATGGTCGCAGATATAGGTTAGCAGAACCTTTGTCTACATAATGATAGCGATAAATACATTTCCTAAGAGCCAAATGACAATACCAACATACCGGTGTTCTGCCAACTCCTCTTGGACTTTTGGGCTTCAGTGGAGATGCAAGCGAGTTCGAGATATTGGTCGCAATTTTTTCCATTGATTGGTACACATGGGGAAGCCAGACTTCTATAAAGTCTGGAACTGCACTCTGTGGGTTTGTATCACCGATTTAGACCCGGTAGAGCTATGTATGGCTCTGTGGGCAACCAACCTTGACACAGTACAGGGTGTCCAAATATGCGCGCCTCAAAGCATCTGTAACATCTCCCATACGGCGCAACTCCCGACTCAGTTCAGGATTTCTTTTCGGCTTACGAGGAGTATCTCTGGGGGGAAGCGGGGAAGTAGCCTTTGGAGATGTGACCAAGCTGCGGCAAACGAGCGTAAATAAAAACTCGCAATCAAATGCAAATTCCTTCATCGTGCACCTTTTTCGCTCATCGCATTTTCCCCGCAGTCGCTCGTCCTCCATTTGGGGATCCCAGATATTCAGAGTCATATCACCGAGAAAATCCCTTATCTCCCGACTAGACTTGCCGCTAAAAAAGAATGCTTGAATTTCATCCTCGAGGGAGTTTGAGAACCACTGCTGTAGCAGAGTCTCGTCTACGTCTTGGGCTGAAGCTAATCATTCAGATCAATAAGGGACGACGCATATAGGACGTTTGGCCACGTACACACGCGAGCTGAAATCAAGGAAGAATTGCAGTCGTCCAGTACGGTCTCCTCACTTCCACAGGAAACAACTCTCAATAAAGCGCAGCCCGGAAAAACAGGAAAGAGAATTGCCAATCGCGCCTGTTCCTCATAATTGGCTGGCAAAGGACTTGCCACCTCAAATGGGTTGTCATCTTCAGCACCTATACCGGCTGTTTCAGCGCTGCTTTCCTCAGCCACCTTCTTGTTCTCATTAGCATCATTGCTCCCCTCTGGTCTATTGCGCAGGCACCGCAGATGGACTTCTACCACCAAAGCACGGCTCTCGCTTCGCAACAGCGTCATCAGACTTTCAAAGCTCAGAAATGCCGTTCCGAACTCGCCAGCTGAAAAGGGTGCGCAAATAAACATTTCCCGCTCTTGCCACGATGGATCTATACGATGAAAGGGAATGCGGCCCTTCTCTTTCATAGCAACGCCCGAATTTGGGAAGAGCATTCGCGATGGCGTAGGGTCAGCATTGCTCGTGTGACTCCCTACGCTGAAACGTTTCTTCCCGCGTGTGTTGCTCGATTTCTCGGGAGGAGCCGTCGCTCTGAAAATCCAACATTTTTTAGCTGATTTATCCCTTTGTGGATGCAGATGAGCGCTCCAAGAGGTGATTGAAATAACGAGTTTACCTTACGCAAGCGCTGATAACTATATGATATATACCACCACTTTGTTTGCGTGCTTCTGTACGAAATAATATGTGTTGGGTCCTCAATTGGTTGTGGGACAAACGACCACATCCAGCAGCATACCAGTGTTTGCAGTAGTAAAAATATTTCCCGTCCACATTTCGTTATTCTGAGTAGGTAGACTCCTGCCGAGTGACCGTTGTAGGTCCTTCATGCGATTATTACAACCAACTGAAAGATAATGGTGTCCGTGCTTCGGATCTAGCGTCTTCTTGCGAAACAGTCGGAATAGTTGGGCGAAAGGCAAAGCTGTGGGCGGCGTAATGAGGACTGATCGAGGTATCATGTTTCCGCCATATGCGCTAAGCATTGATGTCAGGGAACATTCGATATATGATGCCTAGGCACGAGGCCACTGATTAGAATACAATGGCAAGTCATTGTACGATAGCAATAGTGCATACTTCTAGGGTATGGGCGCTTTGCGCGGATGTTTCACAGAAACTGAGCGGAAGCTCGACCCAAGAGATTGCCGTTCGCTTCTCTAAGTATCCATTAAGCATACCCTCCGTTAGCATCTCCCTTTGCATAACGTCGAGTGCCTCGTCGATTCTCGCAATCGTGGACTTGCTCAATGTGCTGTCATTCCGTGAACAATGCGTTTCACCTTCTGGACTACGGGACATGATTCCAGCGTACGCGTCCAGCTCTTGCGCTGTTTGGGGAAATGGTGACAGTAAGAATAAATAATTTCGCAACTTGACTGGCACTGAGGAGTTCATGTCACGACGTGGGGGTTTCGCTGGTGATGGCATGACTGCAGAAGCAGAAACCCAGTTCCACCGAAAATCCGTCAAAGCCTTCCGTAGAATCATCGATATTCGTTTTATCGGCGGAGTGTGGGGTAAACTTGGCCGAGGATTTATGGCCTCATCAACACGTCGCTTGTTCAGTTCGCGTTTTAGCACAGTGTTAAAGGCATCCAAGGTCAGAGGGTTGAAATCCTGAGAGTGGCATATGCTTCCTTTGGTTGCTTGTAACGTTGATATTGAATTAAGGTCAACTAGCTGGTAAGTGCACTGGAGTCAAGGACAACACGTAAACAAAGACACGAATAATATAGCAAAACGGCAAAGGATATCTCCATGAGAAACGTGTATCCACATGAATGTAGAAGAAGAGTAGCAAGCGGAGGACTGCAATCTTTATATTCCTTTCAAATGCGTCCATGTCGAGCACGCCTTCGCTGTCTGGAATGAAACATGGACCAGTGTCGATGATAAAAGCGATATTCGGGGCAGGGCGTCTTGCAGCAGAAGGTGAGCCGAAGGCGGCTAGAGATTTAGACGCCATGGTAAGTCATAAAACAAGCTGGCGTGTACTCAATAAGTTTCTTCAAGGCAGGGCAATTTGTTATTGGGATGTGTGCGCGAAAAGGTCGCCAGACTAGAAGCTGACGTCGAGATTGGAGTCCGACAATGTCACGTGCCTCGGACATCTTCCCGTTACACACGTGAGGTGGAAGAATGGATATGCAATGCCAGGGACAATACAGGACGGATATTTCGTCATATTGTGTATCGTCAGACTTTGGTTTTTGGGACAATACTTGGTGCATTTATCTTGCGTTTCGTTCTCGCTCAAAGGCCGCTTTAAGCTTGCACTTGTGCTGCTTCGGTCGTCGTTTTTCGATGATCGTTGTGGCTGGCCGCTTGTTTATGCTTACGCAATAGGAATCGTGACTGTGCCATATGCACATTGCCAGTATTAGTCTTCCAGAATCCCCACAACCAACTTTGAACGCTGTTGACAAGCTTCTTGCATTTTTTGTGTTGGTTGGCATGGACGCTTTAGACAAGATACACCAAAACTTACTCCAAGGTTCGTCGGAGAGGTCCTGTTGTTTTTGCAATACTTATGGCTTACTCACGAGTCCGTTCACTTCCAGGTTTGTCATTTGCAGACCAGACCGATTTCAAAGGTAGGTCAATGGGAGTCGTCTAGGATAGGCGGACCTTACCACCGTCAAGTGCACTAGCACCGGTGCTTTCCGACGTAAAGTATGGTCTCGTGTGCTTGGTGGGCGTACAACTGACCGCGGCGCTTTAAAGGCCATTGCGAAAAATGTGACAAGCCAGTACTGAACGACACGGGCCCTGGTCTATCATATACTCAAGACGGTATTCAGCACGCTTACCATCGCAAGTGCTTCACCTGTGCGGAATGTCGAAAACCTATTGATGATACATCCTTTTACTTACACCTTGAAAAGCCACATTGTAAAGTGTGCTATGAGGAACGTATATTGGGTCGATGTGCCGCGTGTGATGAAAGCTTGTCTGGCACGGCGACCATGAAAGCGGGGTCGAAGAAATTCCATCCCAAGGTATTTGGCTGTACTCATATTAGGATGTTCCATGTGGTTTGACTGTGTAATGTGACTCTCTGTTTTTGGCACAAAGTGCTTTGTTTGCGAAAAATGTAAGGCCGAATTGCAAGGGCGTTATTTTGAAAAGGATGATGCCTTTTGGTGCCGGTCGTGCTACGAAGTAAATTATCTGCCGGACTGTGATGCATGTGGGAAGAAGATCCAACCTGACGAGACAACCTCGAAAATTACAATGGTGCAGTGCAAAGACAAAAAGTATCATCAAGGATGCTTTGCATGCAAGGTAACATACTTTCCGTTCCGTTCGGTCGAACACAAAGAATGTCTTACGCGAACAATTACAAATTGTCAGGATTGCCGAAAACCGTTTGATGAATTGAAAGCTTTGCATCATAAAGATGAACTTTATTGTCAGGATTGTTACTTTGCGGTAATTAAAGCAATGGAAGAGGCGGCAGCTTGAGACCTGTGCTTGCGCGGTAGGATAGGTGACAAAATATTATAAGAATATCCTAGATAGAATAGTACTATTTTCTTCTGCTACGAATCATGAAATTTCCGCGAGTATTGTGGTGTTCCACTTCCGGGTCTGATTGATTACCCAACGCGACGCTCCGCTGGTCGTTCCATATTTGTTTGGCTGTAGACGTACCATCCTTTACCGTGGCAATTTGCGATCGCAAACAATGTCGTATTGTACCTGTTTCCCTATTCAGTTACCACCTTTAGCTTGAGGGTTCTCGGGCGAGTCCGAGTCGTATGTATGGAACCCGATAGCACGGCTGGCAAACTTTCGATGAAAGAAGAATACCGGCGGTATTTGCTGTGGAGCGGCCAGGGAATTAAACCCCGAAAAACCTCCGTCTCGTGAGAAGTTCCCAAAAATAACACTAGTGCATTGACATATCAAGATTTGAGTACGAGCCTTCCGATTGACTTTCTCACTAGCATCATTTAAGCGTCTGCTTTTTTGTGATTCCCTGCTACTCTGGTTTCCGCCCCCTACGTCGTCATGAAAGCTTTCCACATCAGGTGAGTGGGATTAATCCCAAAATTTCTTACCTGCATGAATTTAGCCCTAACATCATTGACAAATCTGTATTCAACAGCCGGAAGCGTGCCAGTTCGGAGCCAGGTGCCCCTGTGATTGAGAGGAAGCCTTTGGCTTCTTGTGAGGTTTCAACTAGCGGTACGAGATCTACTGCTGTAAAGATCTCAGTTCAGAGTGTCTTGAACGATGAATTTCTACCTCCATACGGGTTGGCCGGTGCGTATGCGCTGTGATACGTGTTTTATGTGCTGGTTTTTGACAATACTTCAAAATAGACTTTTATGCATTCTTGCAAAAAGAGGTAAACATTTGACGTGATACAGTTTGCCTTAGCAGTTTGATTTCTTCCATGCCCATCTCCTTAACAGCATAGCGAGGAAAACATTGAGTTTTACCAAGACATCCAACGGTATCGCCAACGCGCCTTGCCCATCTTCAATGCTCTGAAACAACGAAACGCAAGTCGAGCTAACCTTCGACCCTCCATGGATGAGCTCAGAAAGAGTCGGGCGAGTCTCCGCCGATCCGTTGACAGCGTGCATACCTCGAAAGCAGCTGAGCGTACTCTGGTTAACACGCCCACCGAGGAGACAACCCCAAATCCCACTGCCGAAAGTTCCGACAGCATTGTAGCACCTGCACCACTTGTTGCCAAGGATAAGGAACCGTCTTTGCCAGACCTAAAGCCCATTCTCGCATCGCTTCGGGAAGACTTGGAGACTCTCATTAAAACATACATGACGGAGGGAGCCGACAAAGAGATCAATCTCCCGCAGAGTATCCATCGCAGAATCTTGGTCGAAATTCGGGATAAACACAACTACCACCCAGACTTGTTTAAAGGGGCTTTAGAGAATGTGACAACCATGATGCGGCTGAGCAGTTTCCCTAACTTTATTAAGGCGGCTTCGGCAGCTGGTGGAGAGGGGCCTGTAAGTAAGATGAAGGAGACTCCGGAAGAGGATGGCGATTATACCACAGCAAAGACCTCTAAACACGGTTTGGGAGGAGATAGACTGGGGTCCTCTGTTGCCCCTAAGAGAGCCATTGTCACTTGAGTCAATACTAGAGACTATACGAGGCATTCTCATTCTGTAATGTTGTTGTCCTTGTTAAGGAATACTATATATCTCATCGCATGTTGTCTCCACCGTTGTCACGAAACCCTACTAATATTCTTCGGCAATGCTCTCAGTTACACTACGCTAACCCTCGTCACGGGGAGGAATTTTCACAGGCAGCTATGGCAGCTATAGATTGTACCTATTAGCGTGAACTTTTTACCAAGCCTCGAATTTCAACGACTGGAGTAAAAAGGCCTCCAATCAAGGTAATATTAGTTGCAGGGTCAACGGCAGCGATCGTTGCACCAGATATAATGCCTCCATCATCGGACACTATTGTCTCCACCTTCCATTCGTCTGACTGCGTCGATGTATTGAAGGACCGATATACCCGTACAACTCGGGATGGTGAAGGTTTGTTTGTATCGCCAACGTGGTCAAAGAATTTTAAGGCATGGGTGTGACCTAGAAACCATCTGTTAATGACCGTTTACTAATTAATGACAGCCATTTGCCACCAACCGGTGATGTACAAATCTCCCGATACTGGATCCACAGCAATATTGTCGTTCAAAAATCCAGTCTTGACCGTATCCAGAAGCTGCAATGCGTATCCATCATCCCGCAAGATCTTGTAAACCTGCAATTCTGCACCTATCACTGCATCATTGTACAAAAATTGTTCATCTGGACTGATGGCGAGCCCGTTTGAACCGCGAATGCCTTTCGCAACAATTTTCGCTTTCCCTTCGTTCCAAAGCACAATCGTGGACCACGGTCTACGTGTAAAATCTTCAAAAACCCGCCAGGCTCCCTTTCGAAAATGGTGGTCGTTACTGACATAGAATGTGCGGGGGCCAATTGGAACGATGTCGTTGGGTGTAAGGATGAGAGGATGGGACACAGTTTCGATGTGGTTCAGAACATCGGTCCCAAGTTCATGAGTAAAGATTTCGACAACCGAGCCACTTGGTCGGTGATTAATGAAGAAGAGGTAAATGCTGGAGGAATCGGCGGGATCTTGCCACAAACCGACACCGTGGGTATGAAGTTCATGAGGGAAACCTTTAAGAGTCAAACGCTTGACGGATTTTTTCTGTACAAGTGGATATTTAAAGACATTTCGTCAGAATTGATAAAAGCAACCCATCATATCTCACAATTTTGTTACCTTTATGTCATACACATAAACGGGTTCCGTAGTCTCCTTCTCCTCACCGAAATGTGCCAGAGGAGGAAAGAAGCTTTGTCTGCCTTCCACGCTGGAACACGGCATGAAAGCGAGCCCAGTTTTGTGATGTATGACAATGTCCTCACAGCCGATGGGACCTGTGATGGGGGATCAGGGCTCTGATTCACGTCCGGGACCATGGCTCCCATAGTAGCTTACCATCTATCCGTTGGTAACCTGTGAGGCCCACATTGGGATCAGGAGGATTCCAACCACACAGGCCAGCATACTCTGTTATATTCTCAACGGCGCCGGCAAAAGGCTGCTGGTAGTAGTTCACGACAGCAAGGAGACCAACCACCAAAGACCAACCAAATAGGTTTCCAAAGATAGACTTTGGCTTCTGAGCTGTCCTTGCCGTTGGCTGTTTTGCATTTCTGTGCGTCGTTCCGTGGGACATGGCTGTCGTGGAGTTTGCAAGGAGGGAAGGAACAACTGACGGGCTGATAAAAATAGCTTTTGCGGGCAGGGGAAACAAAGGAAGGTGTTCCAAAAAGCGGAGTTGAGCATCGCGTAAGTCTCCATCAAGATGAAGCGTCTGTGGGACATTTAGCCGTCACGCGAATGAATGAATTTAACCATATATGGATATATTGCAATTGACGCTTATTTAAACAGCCGATACTCATTTCGCATAAGTGTTCTTTCTTGGGCATTGGTAATAACAATGTTCAAACATGTTTGTGATGGCAGAGTTTAGTCATGATAAATGTTGCAGACTTGCCAAGGTGCATTGCATTGACGGAGGATGTCATTCAAAGTCATTGCTGATGGATGTCAAATGACGAGTGCATCTTAAGATTGAAACGAACCGTTTCCCCACATCGTCAGCATTTTGTGTGCCATAGGATGGACAGTTCTGGAAATGCCCGATAGTGTCCTCAATGTACCATACAGACAAAGTGTTGATTTACAACGCCAAGTGCGCTCTACATTCTGCACAAATGGAATTTCCGTTCAAAAACAGCGAGCCAAGCATATCAACAATGTATGATATCGAATATTATGAACTCACGCCAATTCTTGGATGCGGCCTATATGAGATCTTATCTTATAATACTAGAAAATGACCCAGCCCCGTCATCTGTTGCTGGACTTGTCTCATCAGGATTAGAACATCGTTTTTGCCACAATAAAGACCTTTACTGGGATATATACATTATAAAGTATATAGCAAAGTGCTTGCGTACTGTAGCTGTATTTGCTTTCTTATTATTTTTTGAGGTTGTCTGCAATGCTTGATGTCAGGTGCCACGAGAGTGGCGCAGCATGTGGCTTGCACCGCTTGCCAAACTCCGCCTGTTGCTCTGAACAGCAGGTCGACTGATCATGGCTGAAGTAGGAGTCGAGCGACCACCTCCCCTTGGGAATGAGAGTGACGTGGATAAGGGAGTTGGTCAAGATGCAGACATGGAAGGCTTTCAGCAAACCATGGCCAACATTTACCGAGCATCATTTCCCACATCTGCGTCCCCACCGATAGAAAAGTTCAAAAACCCAGCTCCCATACCAGAGAACCCGCCGCAAGTCACCCAGCAATTCCACGATAGCCCAAGCGTCTCACGAAGAGCTCCAAAAAACAACCTTACATGGAATTGGCGACATCCAACACTATCAAGAATCCTGCCCATTTTCTCATCGTCTGCCAAGGATGTATCCACTGCTGCTGAGCGTGAAGGGCTATCCCGAACTCCATCTGTCACTCTGTCTCCCGGCACGGAGGGTGAGAAAGCACACTCTTCAAAAGTGGGACAGGCGATCAGAGCAAAGCTTGGTTTCAAAAGGAAGAGCCAAACCTCTACCTCTGAATTGCCAGAGAAAGAAAGCGGCCAGCGCAATAATGTAGCCGATCCGCAGAGTGCTCCCCAATCATCATTACCGGATGCTGCTCAGTATCAAACGTCAGCCTTTGACCTGCGTCAGCCTCCAGCAGGTTGGACGGACCCAGCGACCCGATTTGCTGGGGGAAATAATGTAGCCCCCGGAGAAGTGGCATCTCCACAACAACCAACTGCCTCTTCAATCTCTTCCCATCCCCCCGCGGGGTGGAATCCAAGTTTAGTTGAAGGAGTATCGTCGCCAGATGTGCGTCAGTTATTGGAAGAAAACACCAGGCTTAAACATGACCTCCAAGCGCTCCGACAGGTAGATGATGCGAAAGAAGCTGCTCTGCACCGCATTCAATTGGCAAACCAAGGCTTTGCTCACGAAGCATCTGTTCTGAGACGTCAGCTGTCGTCCGTCCAGCAACTGCAATCTGATATGGACAATCTGACCGGAAAATATGCGACCCATTCCGAACACATGAAAGATCTGGAGCAGAAGTACGCCTCATTAAATGTCAAATACGCGGAGCTGAAAGCGTCTCACACAGAAACGCTCTCACAAAAGAGCGAATTGGAACGACAGGTATCCAACATGCAAAGTGCCCACAACACATTAGTTGAACAAAAGGTGGAAGCGCAAAGCAAGGCGTATGCTCTTGAACGGTCTCAATTTGACGCTCACAACCTTCGTGAGCAAGTAACACATCTTGAGCGGGAAGCAGATGACCAGCGTCGCATCATCGCCCTTCAACTTGAAACCATATCCCAGTTGAATAACCAAATTGCCGAGTTCAACAGCACTATAGCACAGCTTAACAGTCAGATCACTGAGCTTAACAAAGCCATCCAGTATCGAGACGCTATTGCTCAGGAGAGTGTGGTGCGGATACAAAGTAGCCAAAAACGAATGAGGGAGCTACAGCGGTTACTACATGAGAAAGATAAGATGCTTGCCGAAGTTTTGAGCTCCTCGGACTGGAACCAAGAGGAAGCCGTGCGCCCTGCAGCAGTGTTCGGGAAAGATGATTTTTCGTTCGCGATGGGAAACATCTATCAAGATAAACCCCTCAAAGGGTCGCAACAAGTGCATCATCCAGCCGGAGGTATGGCGCAAGTGCCTTGTGAAGCGGATCATCCGATGGATATTGGCCAAACGATGGCATCTGTCTATGGAGGGTATCAATCTCAGACATGAATTTGTGGATGGATGAAGCTTTAATATTTTGTAACTATATAATAACTTAATCATACTTGTATTCTCCACAGTCTAATGTAGGACAAACATAACAACCAAGTTGGTCGTTCGCTATGATGTGTATCCAAAAAAAATCAAGAAACAAAAAGAACAGTATGCCTTTTTGTTTACAGTCTGTGGTTACCAAACAAAGGCATGTTCCCTGCAGGGACTTGCTGGGTTGGATGACCAGACCAGCAGCTCGCGAGTCCTCGTGGCTTGTTGAGCTGACTCATACGTAGCATGACCTAAAAGCTAAAAGACATGGTACTTGTTCTTTTCGAAAGGGACATATCCAACCGGCAACATCTTCTAACTGACGATAGATGTCCATGTCGTACCGACAGAATTTTATGAACGCACGGATGATGTCAAAAATTGCTTTTGTCTCTCGCATGTCAACGGTGGCAGTTCACCGGACCCTCTTTCGGCCATTGTTTGCTGTTCGCAGCTATGCACCTTTCGGGTCGCAAATGAGCGATAACGATCCTCATGTGTTGGAAAGGGAGAAGCGCCGCATCTTGGAAGGTGTGTATCTATGCTGTGCGTGTTGATGTACATCAGTGGTATTGATCATTTGCGCTTTGCTTAATTCCAAGGTCATGTTAAGGGAGTCCTTCCTGATGTACCCCATTGGGACGAAAAGCTCGCAACTGATTCTGAAGCCATAGTAAGTCATCCCATATCGCGAGTTGGAAAGGGGGGGGGGGGGGGGGACAAATCTGTCCATTCGACAGCATTGACGTCTCTGTACCTCTCATCATATTATAGGTCAAAGCAGACCGATCCTTTGTCGGCGCACCCCCGGAACAGCTCCAATACATAAGCTTGGACATTCTCGAAGAAGAGCTGATCGAAGAAACTACCGCGGACACGGAGGCTCAATCGACTGGAAAACATGGAACGGTTGCAGGTGGTGAGAAGGATGCGTGAATTTGGGGTGGTTGTAAATAGTTGAATTTGCTTTCAAGTGTATATGCGGCTTGTCAACTGGAAATATATTTCAATTGGGCATTCTTGTAAAATGGTCATGCGACAAGGCCATCGACTAGGTTATCAGATCTACGTGATGTCGGCATGAACAACTTTCAACATCTAGGGCGAGACCATGCATCAGGCAAAATCCGGTATTTTGCACTTCATTTCGAAACGAAGCCTTGTAGACAATCCAACACACGTCCATTTCGATGCTGAATATGCATTGGGCATATACATGGAAAGAGGTCATGTCACTTATATAATCGATATTGTTTGTGTTAGCAACCCGAAAAGTGAGCTGAAGGTGTGAAGGTCATCTTGCTGCTGACGGTGTCCCATACTGAAGTCCTTGCAAAACGTACTCCCTCCTCGTCAATCAACAACCATAGCGCTCAAAAACGTTTTGGATCAGACCAACAACTCAGCCATAGTCCACCATGAATGACAGTCTTTGAAGGTAATCTTTGTTGCAAAAGATCATGCAATTTGCCAGCGTGGTAAATGAACGTCTGGCTGGACGCACACACACATTAGGCAGGACACTGGTTGAAATTGTCAAAAAATATCAAATCAACTTCCCTCACTAGCGCCCGCTGTGGGTGTCGAACCCACGACCTTAAGGTTAAAAGCCTCACGCTCTACCACTGAGCTAAGCGGGCCTCTTGCATTAAAAGCAAAGTTGATGCAAATGATACTTTTGCATGACGCTGTTGCCAGAAGTGGTATTCGCAAGCGCTTTCTTTTTTCGTCGACAATTTAGTCGGCGGATCGTACTCTGCACAACAGGGTGCTACAAGCGCCGGTTACAAGAAGGTGACGAGCGACTATGGTTTGGTCCCTGAGAGTAAAGATGAGAATGGCTCATAGAGTGTCAGATCTTCTGATTAGAGCTCCTGTCGTCATGAGTCTTGCTGCAAGGACACTGGTAGGGTGAACTTGTCTAAATTCTGGCCTCATCTTATAGAAAGGGGTTTTCGTTGCTGTTTGGCGACCTTTTTTGCAGGCTCAAAAACCAGCAATGCTCATGGTTATGTCGAGACTCAGGAGGGGCCGGGACATGGGTTGACTGATGCATATCTGTCTGCCCCTGTGGTGTGTAGCGCCCATTTGGCCTGCTTCGTTGCAGATCTTTTGTTACTTGTTCCTTGTCTTCATGCACGATACGTAAACTACGAATTCTGGTTCGCTAAAGGACATAACTACCATCCTGGAAAGTATTGTCCACTTTTACCTGCTCTCTAAATTCCAGGGGGCACAGCATGTCCGAAAGCATGTCCGAAGCGAATAGATAAGCTTTAGATCACATGATGCATCTCACTTCCCGCTCCTCGGCTTCGCATACTTTCAGGCTTCCAAGATACTAGTGCATGTCAAGCTTTTCGACCATGGTATACGAGACGGACGAGACGTCCTGGACGCCCGAATCCCTTGCCAGCATGAAACGAGCAGATCTTCAGGGCATGTTGAAATCGCTGGGGCTGAAAGGGGCAAATAAAAAGGTGCGAATAGGCATTTTCCCACGTCACTCACACAAGTCAAAGTTCGCAGAATAAAAATGCTCGTCGACTTTCATTCTAGTCTTCTGAAATGGCTTCCATAATTCTTGAGCACCGACGATCCTGTATCCCACCCAGTCCCCTCCAACCCGAGCAAAGCAATGTGGCAGGAACACTTTACGAGCAGCGGGCTGAGTGTAACGACCCGAAGCCTGTGATGGAACAGCAGCGTCGTGAGACATCAACTGAGCGCGATGAGGACAAGGAAAATGAGGTTTCTGTTGTGGAAAGGCGCACAGAGATGAAAAGGCGAAAGAAGCCGTCAAAAAAAGATGGAAAGAGAAGGCATGGGAATTTAACGACAAACACAGGCTCTGAGAATGCGAATGTCAACGAGGCCTTTGACAAAGAGCAAATTAGTACAACTGTGGATGATGATCATGCTAATGATGTGGAAGGCAGTCAGACACACGTCAAATCACTAGATGAATCGTCCCATTTTGACGATGCGCAGGAAGTTCCAGATGTTGCCGACATGTCAGATACGACGGCCGAGTCACCGTGGGAAGTTGTTTCAGTCCCGGTCACAGCAGCAGAGGAAAGCGAACCTGCCGCGGCAAAGGCAACATATCGCCAAAGCAAAGCTCGGTCATCCAGATCAGTAGGAACACCAGCTGAAGGCGGATTGCCAGAGACTGTCAACAACTCTGGATTTCTCCCCGACATGAATTCAAATGAACAAGGGACAATGGCCATGGAGGGTGAAGAGACCTCGAATGACCGTGGTACTTCGCAGATTGCATCGTCCACCCAAAGCAAGGCCGACTCGCGCACGCCGAGGGTACCAGAAGCAGTTGCACCACAGAGGGGTGGGTATGGCTATTTGGCTATTAGCCGTTATAATATACATACTAATGATCTGTCAAACCCGTCGTATGGCAGTGCCATCCATTTCTAATTTCCTAGCGCAAAACAATCTGTCGCAACTTACCACACTCTTCCGACGAGAGGAGCTAACCGATTGGACTGTTGTACGGGCATTAACAGTGGATACTCTGCGAAGTTTGGGGGTGACAGCCGGCACAGCGATCAGGTTTCGTTTAGCACTCCAAGGTATTGACGGTACACCGTCTGACACAAACTGGCAGCTCATGTCTTGCTATCCGATGTTTAGAACTTTTTCCATCAGAGGACGTAGATAGGCATACGCCTCGCCATGTTAACCTGGCGATATCCATGGACAGCCTCCAGGCCTTGATGGACGAGATGGCTGGCTTGTCGTTGGGTGAAAAACGAAGTTCATCTGAGCAAGTAGCAGCAACCGGACCCTCGACGATACGGCGCAACGCGCCGTTGTCGGCTAACGCTCCTCATCGTCAGTCCCTGGTTTCGGACGAAACTCTTCGAAAGCGGCTTCTCCGTCAATCTGTTAGTAAAGAAGGATTGAATGCTCACGGTGGTTCGTACCCGCGCCGATCCAGCGTGGCGCCTGTCACTGTCGCCACGCGAAAGCCCAAACCTATTCCGGCTGCCGCGTGTGCAGCAGGACCGGTAGACCCAGTAAACGAACGCGGCATAGCTACAACACGGCAACCACCAGCAGCAGCTATGACTAGCAGCACGGCAGTCCAGATACCAATCAAAAAGTTTTTCGGTAAGGTTGAGTTGAAAAAGGTTCAGTTTGCAAATGACGGAGGTGGAGAAAAGAATTCCGTCGGAAAGTTTGCGCCGACGCCAGCTCCAAAGAAGAGGCCCAGGTAGGCGATGTAATAGATCTATAACATATTTCCACCTTGGAATTGACTATTGTAAAGCGCTCGCGTGAAACCAGGCATCAGTGGAGCTCAACAAGATATGGGCCCCTCAAAGACAGATGCGGGTAAGCATCCTTCTTACTCATGCACTTTTCTTACACATTTGGATATCGCCAATTCTCCAGCGTCATCTGTTAACATTACAATCCATCTCTGTACTGCAGATCCATTCAAGATTTGAAAACGGGTGGCGAAACGACGTAGTATTTGTGGAGATATGCTTGTGGGGATTGTACATGGGATAATGGTTTCTGTATATGCACTTTAATGATATGTAGTATCCGTCTGCAGCACCAGCACCAGACCCAGCTTCGCACGCGACACGGCAGGACCGGCGACCTGCAGAGCCCTCCAAGGACGCGACGGACCTTGTCTGATTATGTAAACAAGCGCGACCTTAATCGCAAATTGAACTTAAATTTTCATCCTCAGTTGTGGATGTATGCTTAGGGCGCCAACTTCCTGCCGCTGGTTTCCAGACGGGACAACAAAAAATGCAATTTTATATGTGTGGGAATGTGGCAACTTGGAGGGGGAATTGAAGGGAAGCGACAAGGACCGGAGGTTAAAGTAACAATAAACGACGACGACGACGACGACGACGACGACGGGGACAACGGACAAGGAGAGGAACACGGCAGAGGACATCCAAGGGGCCCAGCAGCATCATCTGCAGTATTTGATTTATTTCGAAGGCGTAGGGCCACATCTTTTGGTCTCCCACCAGTTGTATAACGCGCGCAAGTTGCCCTCGTGCACTTGGCTTGCTGGCCTGGTCAGATATCTGGGTCTTTCCTGTTCGGCGTGGCTTTTTTTCGGTGCACCATTTTCGCTTCTGCTAGCTGGTCTCGCAGATCACCCAAAATCAACCGTTCTCCCCTAGTTGAAGTTTAGTGGACTTGGGTTCACATGTAAGTTCTTTATTTCTTTGTCGCGGCCAATTACCCTGGGTGGCATTTCGGCAGCAAAGAAAATGCAGAGTTTTGCGCTAGATCTCACATTCGGTTGTGTTTTTTCCCCGCTTTTTATTTGTTGACAGTCTCTAGCTACTACCCATATCCTAAATTCCTATCAGACACCTTTCTCGACCCTACCAACTTCCTTCATACATGCCAGCACTTCCAAGTCGAGGACCGCACATTTCAATCCTGTAGCCACCTTCCATTAACCATCCCCTTTACGTCTCCGCCTCCACAACTTAGTGCGCACACTAACGGCGACGGCTACATCCTTGAAAATCTCCGAGTAAGCCTCATAGAATCCCTCCCCGTGCTGCGCAATATCGTCTCGAACTCTGCCTTTCCGCGTACTAGTCGCCCTCATAGTGTAAGCCGCTGTCACACCCTCTTACCAAGTTTAGAGTTGGTCTCAACGACGAGGTACGTCGTAATCTGTATACCGAAAGCTGCCAACCGACCGCATCTTGAACAGCTGTCTTTTTGGTTCTTTCAAGACGATTGTTCCATAGTATTGTATATATCCATCCAAGGAAAACTACTGTGCAATCTCTAATACCGGAGCGGGACTCCCAGTAATCCTCATCGATAATATTAGTTCTGCATTTCAAAAGTATCCACCTCATCAAACTCCCTTCAAACAAACCCGAAAAAAAGCACAGTACATCATGGTCGCCGCACCTGTTCCATTACCAAACGGAGAATCACCCGCTCGATCAAATTCGCGAAGCGGTTCTGGCAGTGCGTCGTCCCCATCGTCACCACGAGCGTCAGGAACGCCACCGCCTCTACCACATGAAAAGCCTGCTCCGATTGCAACCGGACGATCGGGGAGAAAACAGCATTCGCTGTTTGGGCCATACAAATTGGGCAGAACTTTGGGGGAAGGAGAGTTTGGGAAGGTTAAGCTGGCTGTACATTTGGAAACGAAAAAAGAGGTAAGATTTGCGTGTAAGATCGATAATACCACTATGAGAGGATGAGGTTCTGATTGATTTTGATTGACCTGTAGGTGGCAATAAAATTGATAAAAAAGGAGAATATAGAGCAGCCCACCCGCCGTGCTAAGCTCATGAGAGAAATCTCGATATTGCAGGTAGATAGGACTCATTCCGTTGATAATTATCATGCAATAAGGAGACGATCCGTATCTGATATGCTTTTTGCAGGCTGTCGACCACGCTTATATCGTCAAAGTGTATGAAGTAATTGAAACCAGAGACTACATTGGAATGATTATGGAGTATGCTTCGGGTGGCGAATTATTTGAGCATATTTTGGCCCATCGATATCTAAAGGAGAGGGATGCTTGCCGGTTTTTTGCGCAGTTAATCGCAGGTGTGTGCAGCACGATTCGTTAACAGCAGTGTGATACGCTTTGTTTAATCTGCTGTGAACAGGTGTAAGCTACCTCCATGGCCAAAAGATTGTTCATCGAGACCTCAAACTGGAAAATCTCCTTTTGGACGGCCGACGAAATGTTATTATAACCGACTTTGGATTTGCCAATCGATCATCGGTAGATCCAGATCAGCTGCTTTTGACCTCCTGTGGGAGTCCATGTTATGCCGCACCAGAGTTGGTGATCAGCGATGTATGTGACCACTTCGGTTGTCATACATTGGGTAACCTACCGCTGACTTGATGTGCTGTATAGGGCTATGTTGGTGAGGCGGCAGATATATGGAGCTGTGGAGTCATCTTGGTAATTTTCATGCTTTCCTGCTCTGCCTCCGAGCGCCCAATTTGATTTATTTTGCCAACAGTATGCGATGTTGTGCGGATATCTTCCGTTTGATGACGATCCAAATAACCCCGACGGCGATAACATCAACCTCTTGTACAAATATATCCTTGAAACTGAACTCGATTTCCCAGACTACGTCGGTGAAGATGCACGAGATCTGTTAAAGCGGATGCTCGTTCCAGATCCACGATTCAGAGCTAATATGCGGGATGTCATGCAACATAGGTGGTTACAACCCTTTGCTTACTTTTATCAAGAGGAGCAGAGGCGGCTGGAGGGAGCAGATGTCGTGCCGTCTTCCGTTGAAACTGTGAAGAAAGTCCCTGAGAAAGAGGGTACGGAATCGCCGGATGGAAGTCTTGCAGCGACGTATTCTACACCCCCGGCAACACCTCCGGCAAGATTGTCAATGTCCGCGGACCAGCCGATCGATCACATGCTTGGTGTTGAGCAAGAGGACGCGGCTGTCCCTGATGAGGAGGATGGTACACCCATGGAGGTGGACACTGAAATTGTGGATAGCATGAGTGGTGAGGAAGTCGCAGGTCATGGCACCGTCAAGTTGGCCAAATCAAGCAGTGCGATGAGTGGAGTGGAAGTATTAGTCCTTGGCGGAACTGGCGAGGAAATTGGCGAATCGATCCCTTCTGCGGACGAGAATCAAGAGGTGACCATTCTTGGTGTGGAAGAGACTGTTGCCGTGATACCACCTGTGGATGGTGTAGATGTTGTTGAAGACAAGGCAGAAAACCCCAACGTCACACTGGATGGGCGGGACGGCGGTCTTTCTCGAGTATCGGATTCGAAAGATAGTACATACGGAAGTCAGGTCGAAGAAGTGGTCGTGATAGAGGACACTACTACTCAAGATGAAATAGACAAGGCCCTTCCTGACCTTCCTGCCGCGATGGAAGACGATACTCAGATGTATGTCGTTCCGACCTCTGTTGCCGAATCTGCGGAATCTGTAGCTGTGATTGACTCGCCAATGACCATGAGCGAAAGTGAGGGAACCTTGACTCAGAAAAGATCACAGATCTTGGAAAGATCCGATGTGCGCTCGGTGGCTTTTGAAGAGGAAAGGGGTGGACTTTTGATGGAGGAAATAGGTCCAAAGCAAGAGAAAAAGGTGGAATATGGTCGGAAGAGGTGCGTTTTACGACTTGTTGGCCTGCGCTTTGGCGCTTAAAAGTATTGCTTGCTGATAATGTGTTGCGTTTAAATCTAGTTTGGATGTTCGTCGAACTGAATCTGCTGCCAGTCGAAAATCATTTTTCGGGTGGTTAAAGAAGAGTGGGCATTGTGAGTATCATTGTAGGGCAATCTGATGGCATTCTCGTACCTTACATTGGTGTTACAACAGACCCACCCCCCATGCCTGAGCCACGTCCCGTCAAACTGGATACCATGCGCCGCCCACATTCTTCGGTAGACCACAGCCCTTCCACCGAAAGTGCTCCACGCTCTTCAGTCCACGCACCTTCCGTCATGTCCATTGCTTCTGAGTGGACTGTCGGGTCGAACTCTAGTTCATGGACACCATCCCACAGTACAATAACATTGCCATCGGGTGTGCCAAAGGTGCCCCATCTGCGGTATCACTCAGGTCCCATTGATCAGAGGGCATTGAGTTCGAAGCCACCCAGTCTGGTTATTGCTGAAGTCGGGAGAGTGCTGGAGGGACTGGGCATGGAGGTATGGACAGTGGATGACTTTAAGGTCAAGGTAACCAAGAAGGCAGCTGTCGCTCCGCAACGATCAAAGTCGAGGCGAGGAGATGACCGGCGGGGATCGAATACCACTGGGTCGATGCAAGGTCCACCCGTGTCGTTCTATTCTGCTGTCCCGAGCGCCTCGCATCATTTGCAAAGCCGCGGTTCGGTTTCATCGGGGGCGAGTCTGGCGGGTGGTGATCGATCGTTAGTTGGCAATGGAAATGAATTGGTTGCCAACATGCAAGATGCAGAAGAAACCGCCACGCGGAAGCATGGTCCAGGAAAACTTGCTCAGGTTCTCGCATCTTTCCCTGTCCATCTTGTGAAAAAGCTACGTTACATGGCTCGTTATGGACCTGGTTATAACAAGGGTTTCGGACGACATGAAGCAGCCATGGCAGCCAGCCATCCACCCACATTACCCTACCTCCATCTCCCCTACGCAGCCAGCCGCGATACGATATCCACTCACCATTCAACAACATCAACCACCACTGTTAACAGCAAGGAAATCCGATTCACTGTTGAAGTCCAAAAGATCAAGAACCTTCCTGGACTTTTTGTGGTCGAATTCAAACGGATAAAGGGGGACGTATGGGAATTTAAACGGCTGTATCAAGAGATTATTGTGGGATTGGAAGGCATTGTTGGCGTAGCGAGACAATAGTTGTGGTTAGCTATACAGGAGCCACGGCGTATTACCTAGTTGTGTTTTTTTTTACTCTATTTTCTTTTTCTTGTGTGATTTTGTAGAGAGCTTGAGTTTAGATCTCTGGTGTTTCGAAACCTTTTTGCTTCTTTTTTTTTGTTTGTGGAGAGAGAGGTTGGAAGGCATGTCGAATATGGACTTTTGTGATTACCGTCTGTTTTACGTGTTTGTTCAATCTGTTTCTTTTGCCATCAGTGTAATTTTAGCATGGTTTGACTGCGAGGGATTGGAGATTTGATGCCACGCAAGATACATTAATGATCAAAGGCTGCTGTTGGTAACGGGGTTTATCCCAATATTCACAAATGACGTGTGTGCCTTTTTATCTCCTACAACTCCTTTGCACACGCACTTGTAACTATCTCCAGAGCACGAGATACTGAGCTCGCACATGGACGCCATGAAATAGGTGACACTCTCACGACTTTACCACTCGACACTCACGTAACATTCACGAGCTCATTGCACGCACCGAAAGTCTATAATGGTCAAGATCCCACCCGGAATATCGGGTTTTTTATACCTCCTCAGGCCGCTTTTCGATCGGACTGTGGTTTTTGAAAACACCGCAGAGTGTGCCATTTGGCGCAACCTTACTCTTGCCAATTGAGTGTCTTGAGAGCGTGCACTCTTTGATATCGCTATGCAGATACTAGAGCGGTTGCGTACATTGGAATACCTAGACAGTACCCAAGGGTTAGGCTGTAAAAACATCTAGTATTCATCGCGACGTCTAGTGTGGCATATCCCAAAAACATTTGGTAATGCTAGAGTTTTGCCACATGATTGACGAATACTAACAAAAAATACTTGTGCTGGTAAACTTGGCGGTATTGCAAATTCCATTATCCCGACGTCGACATCCGTGTGCAACAACCACAAAAAAACCACTATTTCGTATTTCAAACCTTCATCTTTGTGTCAAAATAAGGCTTTACGCACGTGCATATAAACCATTATGGATATACGCACGTGCAGTCTTTAACTCGTGTGCGCAGAACGTGCGCAGAGGGATGGCAAAAAAGTCTCTTTTTTTGGCAGAGTTTTTTCCGTGTGTGTGGGGATTTTTGAAGTGTGGCATACGACTGCCCTCATTGTGTTTTCTTGTTTGAATTCCATTGGGACATGCAAAAAAGTAATAGTCAAAAAGGTGTTCGATTTCGTCACTTTTATAGTAGGATTCTACACGTGTTGATGGGATTATCCTGGGCGGTTTTTTTTCCGTAAGTTCTTTTTTTGAGCACAGTGTGGAATGTCAAAGAGGAAAAGAACATCCCCACGTTTTCTTAAAGATTCAAAACTTTCATTTACTTGTAGCATTATAAAAGAAAGTGGGGATTGGGGGCTCCCTTCTTTGTGTGTGTGATCCTTACGAACGCACAGGCACTGTTTTCTTTTTGTCCCTCATAGATTTCGTTTCTTGTCTTGCTGTGACTCTACAGTCGGCAAGTCAAACGAATAAACAACCGCAATCATGGTCAAGGTTACGGAACTATTGACCTTGGCGCTCTTGTCTGTGGCCACTGTGGGTGCCATTAACCCAGCGAGCGTGCCTGAGCAGTCGCAGCATGCACGGTATCGAGCAGCTCCCCGGGGATCCTTATTGTCTGTTGTCGTAAGTTGTCATTAGCGTGTTGTAATAGTCATTAGTTTACAAATGGCTCACATGCGTAACGCTCTAGCCCGTTGATGGTGCAGAGTTCCTGGCAGGCCAGCATTATGACATTTCCATTGAGTTGCACGCCGTGGACACCCAGACACCGCCCCCGTTCACTGCACTCCAGGCTACCATCAACGGCCAGCCTTTTGAAAACTTTTTTAGCAAGTCCTATTCACCGGTCGAGACATGGAATTACACGTACTTTGTCGACAGTGCTGCGCGCGATTCCCACAAACAGACTCTTGTCGGTGTGAGCCGGATTGCACTTCGCAGTGTCAAGATTGACAAGGCCGGGGAATACAAGGTGTCTGTTCAAGTAGATGGTGGAAAGGAGAAAGTCGAGGCTGTTTGGAAGGTTCGAAGCTTTGGTGCAAAGAGGTGGGTCAAGAACTTGGTGTTGTTTATTGGTGATGGTATGGCGGTAAGTATGGAATCGTATAAATTCTCGGTTTATTTGTGAGGAGGCATCTAAGAATTTGTTTCTTTGTAGCCGACCATGATTTCAGCTGCTCGTTACATTTCCAAGCAGACCACTTTTGGCAAAGTAAGCAACAATAATGTTAATAACAAAAAAAATGCCAAAAACTCACCGTTGATTCTACAAAAAAACAGTTTGGCACAAACTTTCTCAACATGGAACTCCTCGGTGCCATTGGCAAGATTGCGACAAACGGTCTCGACTCTATCATTACTGATTCCGCCAACTCTGCTCATGCGTACAACACTGGACACAAGTCTTCCCTCAATGCTCTTGGAGTCTACCCAGATACCTCTGGGCCATCTTTGGACGACCCCAAGGTGGAGACCTTGGCTGAGATTCTGAGGCGGACTCGACCTGACATGTGTATCGGTATCGTCACGACGGCCGAGGTTCAAGATGCTACGCCTGCTGCAGTTTTCAGTCATACCAGGTTGAGGGGTGACAAGGCCATTATTACCGATCAGGTAGGACAGATGATTGCTTTTTGAGAAAGTGTTGGACAATCTGGGTTTCTGATGCAAGGTATAATTCAAGATGATCAACCCCTTCAACTTCCAAAACATCACCTGGGATCCCAAACCCGTTAAAGCTGATGTCTACATGGGCGGTGGGTATTCTAGTGCTCTTAATCCATCTTTTTCATTCACTTATCTGTATCTCCGCAGGTGGTGGAAAATACTTTTGCAACACCAACAGCACGGACCCGGCCCAAAAGTCACTTTGCTCATCCCTCAAAAACCAAGACTATTACGAAAACTACCGCAAGAACGGATACACCGTCGTAAAGTCCCAGCAAGAGTTGGATGCTTACAACGGCAACGGACCCATTGTTGGAATCTTTGCGCTGAACAACTTGGATACCTGGATTGAGAGGTGTGTTTTCATCGTGTTCTTACGAATCTGAGTGGGTGCAGTCAGGATGCTCATATCATATGGAAAAGGACTTTGTGGAAGGACAATCTCAAAATCATAAAGTCCCACCCGGACGGAAACGGACAGTCTGCGACTGAACAGCCCGGTCTGCAAGCCATGACGCTCAAAGCGGTATGTTACAATGGAACTTTGAGCCTTATATACGTGATACTGATTGAACAGTTTTTTATAGATTGAAGTCATGGACCGCCGGTGCAAGGACGGTTGGTTCCTCATGTCTGAAGGAGCGTCCATTGACAAGTCGATGCATCCGATGGACTTTGACCGTGGTCTCGCTGATGTGAGTACCACAAGTCCATTCCAATTCCATTGAAATACAGATATCTCATGTCTCTCGATCAATTTACAGCTCTTGGAACTCGACCGCACTATCAAAGCCGTCAAGGAATACGATGCCGCACACTACCAGGGTCAAACCGCCATCATTGTCACCGCGGACCACTCGCAAGCGTTTGACGTCTACGGCAGCGTAGATACCCAATACTTTAACCAACTCCCCTCGAACGACGACCTCAAAATCGGCTCCAACGCCACCGAAGTGCAAAAGAGCCTTCAAATACAAAAGCGCTTTGCCATTGGCGGTGCATGGGAAACGGGCTGGCCCACCCTCATTACAGATCCGACAACGGATGTACCGACTCTAGAAACAATTGAAGCACCCCGGTACAAGCTCGCAGCAGGCAAAGTGGATGCAGTCCCTCACCACGAAGACTTTCAAATCCGAAAGAAACCCTCCCCAAACACGACACCTCTCACCCGCGAACCGGCTATTGTTGACAAGGGCCTCAGCGCGATTTTCGGAAAAGATGTTGGAGTGCCTAACCCTGCCGATGATAACCTAGATGGCCACGGCTCCATCTCTGTATCGCCCAACTTGAATCCAGAGGAAATTGTCAGTCAGCACTCACTTCAAGCTGTCGATTTGTACTGTGCCGGACCCGATCATGTTAAGATGAGGTGTTCGAGAGTGATGGACAATACAGAGTTGTTTTTCATTATGGCGGATGTAAGTGTTTTTGCCGCGGGTTTTTTTTTTTTTTTGTTTTGGTGCCCGCGGGCGCTAACACTTTTGTTTTTGATTATAGGCTCTTGGATTGGGTTCCGATAGCTCCAATTCGGAACTTCCCCCAGGTTCCGTCTCCTCATCAATGCACAGCGCCGTCCCCTCAGCGCTGTTGACAACCGTCCTCGTCGGTCTGGTTGCAATGTTATTCTAGTCTCTTGAGAAAAAAAAAACGTACATTT